AAACAGAATTCAGGAGCGGTGTTGTAGACAGAAGAGCTAAGCCATTTGATGAAATATAAGCCTTCAGTGACTCCGATGGATGGGATATGTGTTACGTTTACCAAACCAACTTCACTTCCGTCGATAATATTAGTCCACGTTGGTTTAGTTTACAAAAAGTTTAGGGGTTATCTGATTAAGACATGGTATTGTTTAATAAAGTGTCTGCCTACTGATTTAAGGGTAAGTGGAGATGGATTGGGCATGTACTAAGACGACCATTCGGAGACATCACGCGCCAGGCATTAGAGTAGAACCCAGATGGGAAGCGATGAGTTAAGCGTTCGAGGGTGACATGGAGAAGATCGTGTGAGGAAGAAATGAGAGCTACTGGGCTATCATCGAGCCGGATTCAAAAGATTGCAGAGAACAGAGTGCACTGGCGATGTACTGTTTAAGCCCTATGTTCCACTAGGAACCCAAGGAACAAATAATAATAACGAAAAGCGATATGACTAAGAATCAATTTCAGTGACACAGATACATCTACACGTTTTCTTCCTCTTACTCGTCAAATCAAAGTTCATGGTTATCATTCTGCCTTTTCTCTTCATTTAACGACTTTCTACTACTTGAAACCACTTTTTTTCTTGTTTTCCCTATCTTCCACCTTGTTGTTTTGAGAATCTACATGCTAATGTAAGGTGCGTCAATTTGAACTGCAGCATTTCCAAGTCCTATATTAACATGAACTGAATAACTAACTTAGTAACCATGGAGAAAATGTAGTAATGCGTGAAGAACTGTAAATATGTAGGTGATGAAATTCTTAATCCAAGGGTGTCCTTTGGTGACTTGCTTTGCTGACTTATCAGTGACAAGGCCCAGAATTTCTGCAGCTAATCATTTTCTTGGTTATGGATGGAATCCTTGTCACTTAGTTCTAGGAGTTTCACTTCACAGAACTATCTGCATAGAGATTTTGAGGTGTCAGCACGACTGACAAGGCTTTCCTGATTACATTTTTAATGAACTACATAAAAGTGTAACTGATGATGAATTGTTAATCACGTAACGCTTTGAACTTGTATTAATCCATATCACACAGGATTTATAGAAATATACATTGTGTTAAATTATTGTTTATTGAATAGACACATTGGGTTATGAGGGTCCAGTGTTAGACTGATTCTGTCGCAACAAATCATGAGGTTTTATTTTCATGCAGACTGGCTAGTGTTTCAAACTCACACAATAATCTATAGATTACTTTTACTCTTGTCCCTTTTAATGAATGTCAAATAGTTCTATTTCTTTGACAGGTTCTATAACTTTATAATTTCCGGTGCGTTTTTAGAATCTCACTTTAATGACTGGAGTACAGCTATATCGGAAATGCACAGTTTCATTATTTTTGTGTGATTCACTTCACTATTTCTGATTGGATGATTTTCAAAAAGGTTTGTGTGCTCAGTCAAACACTTGAATATAAACGGAACTTATTTATTGTGAAATTGAGATGACCTGATTTTAGGTGAATACATGCTTTTATTTTGTTACTTGGATTACCTCGTCGTTGCTTGGACTGAAATGACCTGTCTTTGTTGGCTTATGAGCTTCTGTGCGGATGCCTGGCCTTTGTTTGTACTTCACTTATAAAATAATGATAGTGGCTAGTACTGGAATCTAGGATGTGTGTTTCTTCCTATCTGTCCAGGGTTCCAGTCCTAGTGGTAACAACATCGGTCACTGGGAGACGGGTACATCAAGCTGACGAGTCCCAAACAGGACGAAACGCCTGTCCTGGACTCCAGTGCTGGCCACCATCCATCACTGGAATGCATGTTTTGCCACATTCTAGTCGCAAAAAATATTTTTCAGATTGTAATATTCACAGAGCGTAGAATGGCAATCAGCTCTATACCTCAACTTCATCGACTTTGAGAAGGCCTTTGACAGCGTCGACCGAGAAGTAATTTGGAAACTGCTTCAATACTACGGAGTACCGCAAACCTTTATCCGCCTCATTCAACAACTATATGAAGATGCCACATGCCAAGTAATCCACAATGGGAAGCTCAGTGATGCCTTTGAAGTGAAGACAGGAGTGAAACAAGGTTGCCTACTATCCCCCATGATATTCCTTATTGTGGTGGACTGGATCATGCAGCAAACAGTGGGGAGCGAGAACAGGGGGATACGCTGGCTGGACTGAGGAAAAGAACCTAGAAGACTTGGATTTCGCCAAGGATGACTTGTGGCTAATGTCACATAAACTTGAAGATCTGCAGGCAAAAACTAACAAGTTGACAGAAGAGGCAGCTAAGACGGGACTTCAGGTGAATATAGAGAAGACAGAAGTGATGAAGATACCGCACCACCACCATCAACAACAACAACAAACTCCAATCACCGTCAACGGGAGAAACTTGAAGGAAGTAACCTCCTTCACTTATCTAGGAAGCAGTGTTTCAACTACAGGCGGGACGGACGAGGACGTCAAAGTCAGAATCGGAAAAGCAAGACAGGTGTTCATTAGCCTGAAACCAGTGTGGAGATCTTCTGCACTCAGCATGTGGAACAAGATACGGATTTTCAACACCAACGTCAAGTCAGTGCTTCTGTATGGTTCAGAGACTTGGCGCGTCACGAAAGGCATTTCCAATAAACTACAGACATTTATCAATAACTGCTTACGCTCGCCACTGAAGATCAGATGGCCAGAAAGAATAAGCAACAAGGAGCTCTGGGAATGAACCAACCAAGAACCTATTACGCAACAAATATGCAGGAGGAAGTGGAGATGGATTGGGCATGCACTGAGAAGGCCGACTGAGGACATCACGCGTCAGGCCAGTCACTCGAGTGGAATCCCCATGGGAAGCGACGAGTTGGACGTCCGAGGGTGACATGGAGGAGGTCGTGCGAGGAGGAAATGAGAGCTTCTGGGCTGTCGTGGAACCAGGTTCAAAGATCTCAGAGAACAGAGGTCACTGGAGGCGTGCTACTGAAGCCCTATGTTCCACTAGGAACCCAAGGGACTAATAATAATAATAATAAATATTCACACAAAAGCTGCTGGAAGTGTTGCAGGTGATTGACTTTGAGATTACATTTTTGACATTTTAATTGCAAAGTGATTAACATGTAGAAAGGCACTAGTCGAAAAAAAACATTAGGTTGACATCTCATCATATGTTCAGCTTGCATATGAAACACAACTAAATTTTGGTGCTGATGTCCAGGAGGATTCAAATTTTATTTTTCAATATCGGTTCAGTAACGAAATGCTTAAGCATTTGTTTCTTACAATGTTATAAGCAAATTGTATTTCAAGCGATTTCACAAAATTTCATTTTGGATACACTCTCTGAGAGATATTTTATGGCATCTGTAAACGCATTATATAGTTGTAGATATTTAATGCTTATGTTTGAGTGTGCCTAGTTGTGGCTATTAAATTGACTTCACCCAAACAGTTTGGTGAATCTTTAAAAATCACTTAATGAGTATCTGTAAATTCAATGGTTAGCTGTCGTGAACTCTACGGTGTAGACATAGGATTGAGTTGTAGAGCGGAAAGTGCGCTTCTTGGCTGGATACCAGTAAATAGCCGTCTATGTGTCATTCGACTGAATGGATCTTTAAGGACTAGGAAGGATTGTCAAACAAACTGATGCCTATGCGTCATTTCCGCCGACGCACTCATGATCGCAATTCAAATGATGCAAAGAATGAGTTGAATTATCACCTATCAGTTTTGCTACAAAAAGCAGAAGGTTTCAGATATAGTCATAATGGCAGGTGACCTTAACGCTGAAGTAGAGAAATTGAGTCAATCGGTAAAGCATCTTGGAAGTATTTACGGAATCTTACTCCAATGAACGGCCAACGGTGGTCGTCTGTTGCGATTTCGCTCCAACAATCACTTTTTTCTGTTTAGCACCAACTTAAAACATAAAAGGGAGACACTGTTTCATATGGTTTCCAAAAACATATAATCAACGATGGAGATTGACAGATCATATTGCCATAAACCATCATTGGAGAGAACCAGTGGAGGACCGGAATTTTCTGAAGTACCTGCTAAGAGTTTGACCACATGTTAGTACGGAAACGTGTACGTTTGCACCTCACTGATAGCAGAGAACGGACAGAAGTGAAGCCTATCTGTGTTCGACTGGAAAATAAGGACCCCAGTTGCGCATTTAGAAAGAAGTCAGATAAGTATTTATCTGGAAATACCAGCAGTGCTCATCCTGAGGAAACCTGACGTCTTCTGCAGAAACAGTGAAGGCAATCGGTAACCTACATCCGAAGGTTAGGAACGTTGTTAGATTTCGCAACGTCAACCGCCTTGACTGGCGTGAGAAGACTAATTATCAGGTTAGCAAGGGAATATGGTTCTAGACCTCATAATCTGTCTAGTGTACAAAACAACTGTACCCATACCTTTGCTACTTGACAAGAAATCTTGAAAATCTACAGAAGAAAAACTTTAGAAGCATGAGGGAATCGATTTCCCGATAACCCACTATATAGCTTAAAAATGTAAATGTTATAAAGTAAAAATTAAAAAGTCAAACATTTTCTTTGTGTAGTACGTACGGACAGAATGAAGTTAGAACACTTTTTTTTCTATCTGAAACGTTCAATATATGCAAAGCATTTGGGATTGAAATAGGCTATAATCTCCTCCATAAAAAAAACTGCGATTGAACTTACGGTACTATTTCAGCTGATAAAGATAAAAAGTAAGCTGAAGTGGGTAAATATTCTCTTTTATCCAATAAGGAATACACCAAATCTTATTAAGCAATAAATGATTTGGTTGTCAGTGAGGAAAATATAAGTCTGTTGGACTTTGTTGTGAATCAAGCGCAAATGTGAAAACTCTACTTTTCGATAGTTTTTGAAACTTTAGTTGAAATGATTTTCAATAATTTACAAGAAAATTAAAACATACTCGTTATTTGTTTTCTTTTGATTTCAATTTTGATAAAATAATCGCAAAAAAGTAGAATCTTTATCACCAGGCCAATGCAGATGTCATAATCCTTGTGAGGCAGTATCTTATTCCATTGAATCCATAACACAAGCATTAAAATCACCATTGCTATTTACACATCCCACGAATATATTTACTAAATTGAATCAAACAAATGTTGAATTAGGAAGTGATGTTGATGATCCATACTCTGAAAAACAGTTCATTCCAAGCATCACGATGATAAGTCTACTTCTTCAGTTCCTCAAAACAGCAAGAACAACGACCGTAATAATGTGAATTCATGGAATGATAATGAATTCGAGCTAAATCAGCCGCGACAATACTTGTATGCTTACAAAAAGGAGATTTGGGTAGGTCATTTTTATTTAATTAAAATGTGCTGTAAAATAAAATTTGTTGATTTTCGATATTAGGACTTAGTTGACGTGAAGGTTGCCCTACTTGTAGGTTGATATCACCTTAGTGATTTGAACTTGTGTTACTCGATGAATAATATTAGAAACCTTGCAGCCTAGCTATTCACGTCTCAGATGTCAAATCTTTAGTATTCAGTGCTAACAGAAGTCTGTCGATAAACTCTGAAGTGTATCTGTTTAGTTTATTCATGCCACATTATGGTGCACTACATTTTGGTGCTACATGTTAAAGCCGATTAGCCGACTTTGGGAATTTAAGGCATTGGTTACCGTCCATTGACTGATTTGCATATGTTACTATTTATGAATGCTATTGGTGATATCTTTTCATTTTTTTGCCTTCTGTTTAGAGTATTGGAGCAGGAGACAATCAGTATTTTGTGGACTTTAAGGGCTAATATGTTTGCGTATGCATCCTAATAAATCTGATTGTTCATTAACAAAAATGTGACAATACTAACTAAACAAAATCAAATATATTTTGATATTTTACGCAGATTATTTAGGAATAAATAAGCCTAAAGAATTTTAACCACCGAAAAGTGAAACGAACTAATAGACATTAGCTTTCTTTAGTATGTTATCATGCGAACACGGAAGACGATTTACCACAAACTGATTTAGTTTTTATTGCCTAACTTCATAAAACTGAAGCATATTAATTAGCGGAGTTGCTAAAAACTTTGCAACTGTTTTCTTCTAATATCAAAAATATATTGAGTGAATTTAACATGAAAGAGTTACTCTACCGAATTTATTGGTTTGTTTTGGTTGTTTTAAGCATTTTAACGACGATTCTATGACGTGAACTTCTGTTCAGTCACCTGTGATGAGATCATGTAATAAACTACAAGGTTGATCACGATAAGCTTAGCACTAAGTCAAACAAAATAACTTTTAGGATCATACAAGAATAATCTCTACACCTGATTATTATCTTTCTTGCAAGCGAAAAACTTCGGTGAAAAGTGGATAATTATCAGTGAAATATAGATGGCTATCTGGGTAACACTGAAATCACCTAATAGACAGAATTGATTCTAAACTGATTATTGCAAAATACCACCAATTTTCCCTGACACACTTTTCTTAATGAAGTACTTAAATTATCTATAAGGAACGTGATATCTTGGCCTGAATTACTGAACCATAGATATTGTGTTTTACTGTGTACACCGGCTGAGATATTTTTGCTACGCTAACTCATATTTACTGTATTTACAATAAGAAATTTTAATGTAACACACGGTAACTTCAATAATAAATGTTGTCACTTCTGATAAATGGAACATCTATAGCGCAAAAAACATGGAAAGAATGATTTTTACTTCACCTGCAGCAGTTCATAGCAAATTAACTGTTCTACAATATGATGATAATTAATGAAAGATTCAAATGAATTTCATTTAATCCTACTAAGGATTCACCTGCAATGAACTCAGAATAACTGCATTCCAATGACAGAAGTGAGCATCCGAAAAGAGTAGAACTTGAAAACTTCATAGTCAGCCACAAGAGAAAGAAATCAGAATAACAGGTGTACAGTAATTCATTTTACCACTTGCCACATCCACAACAGGTTAAATGTCTGTACATTCAGCCTTATGTATTTACTGTTAACACGTGTATAATCTAGTTACAAAAAAGTTATGGACGCCACATTTAATCTAGGGCATATGAATTAATGCAAATAAGCAGTTACAAACTGATTATGCACCTGATCATAAAATCTACACTTCAAAGCATGTTTCTGAGTCTGAGTAAGAGATTATACAAGAAACTTCCTTCGAAATTTTTAAAAGTATGTACCTGAAAAACAGTCGGTGTGTAAATATTGTACATTTGTGAGGCTGCGATTCAAGGAAGATAAATGTTTTCAACCTATTGTTTTCCTTTCAATTGTATTACCGACGTTAACAGGTTTTTGATCACAAACATCATACAAAAGCACCTAAAGTAACTTTTGACTTAACTCATTGAGATATCCGTATACGATGTGTTAAGGTTACCTAAAGCTGTTGCAATATGATTCTATTCTGTCGGTATTCGAAATCCGTGGATTCATTAACAAATAAGATTCAAAGACCCTGAAATAGGATAAACTAATTGATTCGTGAAAAATAAGTAAAGTGATAAAGTTCAAATTTAACAGTAACTGAACTCAAAAGTGCATTAAGTGATATTTTTTAATATTTTTAAATTTCTAGTTGGCACAAATCAATTTCGAAATATTATCATACAAATTACATATCTGAAACGCTTGGAAATCCCTATTCTATACTGTAAAGCTTTTGAATTAAGTTCTAGAACTCCTCAGCTTAGTGATCGGAATAAAAAAGCGGGTGTGTATGATGTAAGCGCTTTCGTTGCTTAGCTTTTGGATATAATTTTACTTCTTCTTCAACACCACGCATTCCACTAGTATGGCAAGCGTTTTTATGAACATTAGAAACTTAAGCAAGCGAAAATGCTTTAACATTGAATGGATGAGAGTTAGATTTATGTTTTAGGTTTATCCCCCTATAATTTGACGTCTGTCCTTGTCGAGTCTGCTTTTAATTGATTGAATCGATGATAAGGATACCACGTTCTCTGATAAATGTTTAAACAGCTGGTTAACTAATAGTGAATACTAGTTACACGCTCATTGGTCAGAACTGCACTTTTTGGGTGAAGGGTGGATAAATTTAATATTACTCATCCCTGGAACAACGGTGTACATTTTGGGCCAAACTTATGAATGGTCAAAATCTTCGGTGTAATTCCACAGATGTGGTAAGAAGACATTTGAAACCTTCTCAAACGAATCAATGATAATTCAGTCAACTTTTGAATGATGACTTTAAACAATAATTTGATGATACTTTTACATTTTTGTGAGGTTATTCATCATGTTGAGCATTGTTGAGCACTTCTGTTTGAATCCGACCACGCAGCTAGAACGTCTTCAAGTGAAATTAATCACTATAGTTTTAAAGTTAGCTTTTCATCATACCTTTCTTCTAATTGAATATCAGTACTATCAGGAAAAAGATTTTGCAAATTTCACAATTATTTTGGTGTTGAAATCTTTTTTGGGATACATTTTTCACTCACATCGCTGTGATATTGTTCAGAACTAAATGTATTTACTCAAACTTTTAGTGGTATAACTAGTATTCGGTATAAGGTGATTTCATGTCGGTCGAAAACATTTATCAAGGAGCAAAATATACGTTATACGTTATCATAGCTCAGTTCGTAGATCACCGGGCAGGTAACCCGCTGGTCTCATCTCTGGTTTGAATTTCGCCCAGGTCCAAATTTTTAGTTCACCTCCAATCATCACCCTGTATAAGTACATGCCTACCAAACCATGGCTTAGATAACCAAAAATGATAATAATAAGAATGATTGGAAAAACACTTATTGTGGATAGTCTTGAGAACCTTTATTCCTTCCAAAATAACGCCTTTGAGTGTAGAAAGGTGTACTAGCTGTTCCACCTTTAAAAATTTCAGGTGAATAAAGAGCTTCTTGCTAATCCCAAGAACATTTTTTTGTGGGCGTTTACTTGTCCCTATATTGTGTTAAGCTTTACTTACTGAGGAATCATTCTCACAAGAAATCGTACCACTCTATCAGCGAACAACTAAACTTTTAATTTTTCACAAATTAATTTGCTGGGTTTCTCGAGAATGTATCTTGGGTGATTCCACACTTCAGATATGTTGATGGGTTTAAGTTTCTTTTGGTTGAGTGTTTTTCACATTTAAAACCTATTTTCCAGAATACTGCTGTCAACTGTAAGAACATAATGTAGCCTACTGCTTCAGAGGTCTTAGTACTATTCACTAAGCAGGGAGGTTATAGTAGCTGACCTTTTCAGTAAGTTCAAAGCATTGATATTTGTCTGGGTTTCTTATTATTTATTTGAAGACGGAATCCAGCAGTTCATGTGAATGTACTGGGATCCTGTACAACAACACTGAAATCAGCTTTTATCAGATCCTGGAATTACTTTAGTATCAATTAACAGGTCATGATACATTTCAACCTCTAGACATAATGTACCTGGACAGTAAGTATTTTAGATTATATGAGGAGCCAGCAATAACGTAATATAAATGGTCATTTAACGAGGCTCCCAATAAGTATTCAGGATATTTTGAAGAACCTAAGGTTTTGTCGCTAAAAATTATTCTCATCAGTAGCTTATATGTCTTTCATTTTATATCACCTAATGCTAAAAAAATATTGCCTTTAAGCCATCTTAATTTGTATGTTTAATGTTGGTATACTTCATTGAGTTTATTAAATTATTATCCAAGTGACTCGCCTTTCCTAGTAGTTAAATGGATAACGTTTTGGCATTTGAAGCGATACGCCTAGGGTTTGAGTAACAGTGAGAATAACATCATTTACTAGGATGCAGGTAGACACAGCTGACGAGCCCCAAAGTGGGGCGAAATGCGCGTGCTGGACTTTACTGCTAGTCACCAAGATTAATGTAACATCATAAATATCCGGTATTATCTAGGCATTTGTACAGGAGCCCATCTGCCAGCAGAGGTTGAGCCATTTGACCCTGAAAAGCAACGAGAGATTATAAGCATCAAAAGGACTACAGTGTTTGCAACTTTTTCAAAGAAAAATGCTATTGAAATACGGAAATCTTAGACTAAATTCCTGAAAGTGTCATACTTTGAAACTAAGGTTTCTCCGATGACTGATAACCGACATCTGATTAATCAATAACTATCACCACATAAAAATTAGATACTTTTAGATTATTTTGAGAAAACTAAACCAAACAAGCCTATCTTTATCACATGAATTACTTCAGCTTCACTTCAAATTCTGCGACACCTCATTCCTATCAAAACATTATTGAGATTTGTTTGCGTAACCAGAAGACTAAATGTGTGAAGAATTTGTATTTTCATGTGTGTGGT